ATAGACTAGACATATGCAATACAAAATGAATGCTTTTTACAGTGATTAATTACGTATAAATAATCGATGATACATCAATAAATTTATGAACATCTCGTATAAGACTCATTTGAGCATAATGTAAGCCTTTGATCTCGTTCAACATTTGAAATAACTTGTTGTATCCATGGAACATGCCTGGATACTTCTGTATATAAAGTATACAAGTTATTGTCGCAATGAGCAATCCCACCATCTTGTATCGTGCCAAGGGAAACGCTAACAATACCTCGAAGATACCACGTATTATTAGTCTTAACGACTAAACCACCGCCACTGTCACCGTCACAAACAGAAGAACCTGAAACATACAATGCTTATGTAAATAATTATATTACCTTTTATTTTTCGCAACTTTCCACAGAATAATCATTTTTATATTTATCTATTCTTATATTTCTCTTTCTTTTTTATCCTTTCTTACATAATTCTTACAAATTTAAATAATTTCACATATTTTACAAATATCTTTCTGATAAATAAAGAATGCAGTACATCGTGTTTATTATTGTCACACAATTTATCTTTTACTAACCATTTCTGTAACCTGCGCATAATTTATCATTGGTGATAAATTGTCGCGTACTAGCATTTTGACTCGCGGATATGCATTGGCTGAACGAAATTATAGGCACTGTCAAAGCTTGTAATATTGCGCTAGTTTCACCGTGTGCAGTTCTACCAAATCCCGCTACCTTTCCGTAAGAACCTACTTCCACTGCACTTTTATCATTTGCAGTATCTATACATATTGGAACCAACCATGTTGTCAATTTAAATGGCCTGACGAGTTCTAATATCGCAATATCCCAAAGGTAATTTCCAATAAGTCCCAGATAATTGTGTGCAATGTAAATATGTTTCACCTGCAATAAGACATTTTTAAATGCTTATGGTTGTGAATATCCTATACAGATTAGTTTATATTGCATTTCTTTTACACATATAAATTTGCAAACCTGATTGTATTTAACGAAGGTTCGATTGTGATAGAGATAATCGTAATCACGAAAGAGATTTCCCACTACTACATAAATTTTACTGGCGTTATACAATTGCCCAATATTCTCATCAAATACACAATGAGCTGCCGTTATTAAGAATCTGTCTCGAATAACGGATGCTCCACAGAAGTATTTCTTTCCCTTGTCTGGTTCATCGCGATACAACGAAGCGTGCCACGGAAATTCTGTAATATTCGGTCGAACACCGCCTATAACGGTCGATTTAACATCAGGAGGTACACTACCGCATGCTACAATAAAACAAGCATTTAGAAAATCGTCTTCGCGTGATAATACAGAAGAGTGAGACACTCGTAATCTTACACATACAAAAAAAGAAAGCAATTCATAATTATCATAACTCCACGTTATTCTGATAATTTTGATATTTCTTTTAACAAGGTAGAAAAGAAATTGAGACATGTCGAAATCACGTAAAAGTATAATTGATAGATATTTTATATGTATTTACTTGTGAATGTGTGTGTTTCCACATAATAATATAGAAATATGGTATATATACGCAGCATCCCTACAGTAATTATTACAGAATTGAATTTTGATACTTTCAATAAAACTTTAATTTATTAGTAATTATAAAAATTTTGAAAAATTTCAAATCATAACTTGAATGAAAACTGTAATACATAAAAAAACGATACAAATAAGTTATCTATATAAAAAAAGAGGATAATCATATATTCGATCGATATCACTTATATGATTATTGTTTAAAAGTTGTAAAAATATTATTCAAAGTTATACTATTTAAATTCTACTACATTCCTTGAACATGTCCAAGGCTCATCAATTCCATTTTTTCTGTCAAACTGCGTAAATTTGGTCAATAATATAAATATTTATTTGTAAGCAGACCTAAAACGCATCGCATAGGTTCTGGTTCCCATTGACCATTCATATTACATGTCACAGTGTTTCCTTGTGCGAACAGTAAGTTATTTTCAGGGCGATAACCGTTTTGACAATCCAATATTGCTTTTGTTCCTGGAACTGAAGTTTCGCACGGTATCCATTTGTCATCTAACGTACATCTAGCTTGGATTGAGACTGTGATCAAAACTTGGCAGGATTCTATCAAACAAACATTTAGATTAATTTATAATTATGATTTTGATCGCTTCACAATTGAAATATTAGCGATATCTAGAAATACATAATTATTTTCTTCTATATTTTTTCTTAAAATAATCAAATACTTTAAGAACATGTAATTATTGT